CCCCTGTCACCCAGGCTGAAGTGCAATGGCATGATCTCAGCTCACTGCAACCTCTGCCTCCTGAGTTGAAGTGATTCTCCTGCCTCAGCCTCCCGAGTAGCTGGGATTACAGGTGCATACCACCACACCCAGCTAATTTTTTGTATCTTTAGTAAAGATGGGGTTTCACCATGTTGGCCAGGCTGGTCTTGAACTCCTGACCTTGTGATCCAGGCACCTCGGCCTCCCAAAGTGCTGGGATTACAGGTGTGAGCCACCGTGCCCAACCAGCATTTAATATTTTCTTAAAACTTTTGTCCATGGAGCTCTCACCTAGGCCTGGTGAAAATACATGTTTTTTAGTCCAAAACAGGCCAAAGGAGTCATTAGGTGTCTGTCTTTAGCCATTCCATCAGCTCTTTAATAGAACGTTTTCTTTTCTTTGACATGTTTCACCTGCTTTCAGTTAATAGTTAGAACCCTTGGAATAATTTCTTATGCACTGATGGATTCCTTTTGCTTGACAGTTTAAAAAGCAATTCATTTGAAATTGTACTTTTCACTTTATTTAAATAGTGCCCATTACGAAATAGCCTCAGCTACAGCTCTAATGACTCATTCTGCAGAAGAGAGAATTGGGTTTTATGTACCTTTTGGATTCAAAGCATTCAGGAACATTTTCTAAATCGGCAAAGGCCATGGGACAAATGGAAAATGAGTTGCTGGGTTTATCTTGGTCCCAGCTTCAGTGCCTTTGGATTCAGAATATCTCCTCTGCAATCACATCTTCTGATATGATACTGCAGAGAATGGTCTGCATGGCCAGAGTTTAGGCCATTTTGTTAAGATGTCTCAGCCCATGGGAGGTAGGTACCATGATATTTTTCCTGAAAAATCCTTTCCTGTGACAGGATGAGCCTCACCATTTAATATGTATCTGACTTCATTTTTAAAAGTTTTCTGCCGGGAGAGGTGGCTCACACCTGTAATCCTAGCACTTTGGGAGGCTGAGGTCGGAAATTCGAGACCAGCCTGATCAACATGGAGAAACTCCGTCTCTACTAAAAACACAAAATTAGCCAGCTGTGGTGGTGCGTGCCTGTAATCCCTGCTACTTGGGAGGCTGAGGCAGGAGAATCACTTGAACCCGGGAGACAGAGGTTGTGGTGAGCTGAGATCACGCCATTACACTCCAGCCTGGGAGACAAGAGTGGAACTCCATCTCAAAAAAAAAAAAAATTTCTTTGCTAGAATGACCTTCTCCATGACTTCTAATTTCTGCTCTGCCTTGAAGATGACTGTCCCTCAGCCCCAGATAGGCAGCGGTTCTCAAACTTCAGCATGCTTCAGAATCCCTTGGAGTTTGTTAACACTCTGGTTGCTGAACCGCCCCCTCCCGACCTCCCAGAGTTTCTGCTTCAGTAAATTCATATTCAGAGTAGAGCCTGAGAATGAGCATTTCTAACAAGCTCCCAAGCAAAGCTGATGCTTCTGGTCTAGGGGCTACACTTCAAGGAACACTGGGCGAAGGGATGCTACAATGAGAGTCACAGCACTAAAACAGCAGAAATGTGTTTCTACCTCGGGTTTCCGGTCTGCCAAGAGGTGTGTGTCTCAAGGAGGGGTTACTCAGGCACATGGAAGCAGCCACAGTCTCAGCATGACTGTTTGCAGTGCCCGAGGGACAAGAGACCTCTGGCACCTCCTGTGCTGACCATCAGATGATCTGGCCGGGATATGACTGCTGTCACCACTACTCACCACTCATGGGTCCAGGCTGGTCACATGGCGCCACCAAACCATGAGGAGGTCCAGAAGTACCATTCTTCCACTGCTGGCTAAGATCTGAACTCTACAATGGGCAGCCTTGATGATGACCACATCAATGCAAACCTTGCCCCTCCTTCCTTGCCTTCCTCTTCCTCTTCCCTAGTAGTTGATTCCACCATGCCCTAAAACCCGTGGAGTACATCTCCATTGTAGCATTTCTCTTTTTTTCTTTTTTTTTTGGAGACAGCCTTGCTCTATTGCCCAGGCTAGAGTGCAGTGGCACGATCTTGGCTCACTGCAATCCCCGCCTCCCGAGCTCAAGCAATTCTCATGCCCCAGCCTCCTGAGTAGCTGGAACTACAGGCATGTGCCACCATGCCTGCTAATTTTTTGCATTTTAATAGAGACAGCGTTTCACCATGTTGCCCAGGCTGATCTCGAGCTCCTGGGCTCAGGCAATCCACCTGCCTCGGCCTCCCAAAGTGCTGGAATTACAGACATAAGCCACCGCACCCAGCCTCAGTCTAGCATTTTTATCTCATTGTTTTGTGATGCTGGTGAGATTATCTGTCTCCTCTTGGTGGGAGAAGGCCTCGGGAGTTGCCATCTTATCCACAGCTCCGAACACAGCACCTGGCCATTAGGTACTTCATGTATAAAGTATTGAATGAGCAAACAAATAGATAAAGAACAGTTGCCCCTGTTGGATGGTGTCTGCTGTCACCACCACTTCAGCCCGACCCCAGGCACTGACCCCCACTTCACTGTCAAGGTTACCAGTGACCTGCAAATACATCTCCCAGAATTTGACCCTCTTACACATGTGACTCTTACTAGCCACCATTCGTCACATTCTTGACAATGTGCACTTCTGGTTTTTCTCTTCCTTCTCTGACCAGCTCACCAGCCCCTCTTGGTCCTTTTGGGATATACCCC